ATCTTGCGCAACAATGACCCACACTGTCAAGATACCGGTTGACGTATGGGAAGCTATACGTCGACCGGTTCTGGGTAATTCTCACTTCCACTACCCACTGTCCAGTATGCACCTATATACACCAACATTTGATAATTAACCACCCACGCCACTGCACTCACGTACGAAATTAAACACATTATAACATCTAATACAATAATACCAACCACGTTGTTAACGTAATTTGCCACACGTTACTTAAAATACACAAACTGATTTAGAATGAGTAAAACTTAATTACAATTTCTCAATAGCCATATACAAAATGAACCTCAATACACCACACGTTACAAAAATAATACATCTTGAGTTAGTACTTTACAAAAAATTAGGTCCATTTACAAAAGATAACAAAAGAGACATTTCTCTACTCCAAGCTAAGGCTGAGGTGGATTACCTTCAGCTACTTCTTTTCCATGTCTTGAAAAAATGATAATTATAATAGGGTGAGCGAATCGCTGAGTAGGTAGCACTTAAGACACGTTTTTTGTGTCCCCGTGAATCCAAAACAAAGCATAGAACAATGGGAATGGGGATCATATAATGTCGAGACAATATAACATGCTAACCAAATTCAAATATAAGCAATGCAATACCATGGGATGCAATGCATGCCGATGTCATTTCCCATTTCCAACATTCGAAACCATCACTTTCAAACTGTTAATGTAATCCCCTTTGGTACCCCCTCAGCACCGAGAGAAGGATTGGCTACTGTCCCTAGACCATTGGTGACTTCGCAGCGTCATCGTGGGCCCAGATAGCTCAACCACGCTAGGACAATCTCCTTTGTTTCCTCTAGGTTACATTAACCTACCAGCCAGTTGGTGACTCCACAGCGACCAGGTTTTCATAAAACCATTTCATAAAAACTCTTTCCCAAAATTCCACTTTTTATTTCAAAGGAAAAATTCTGCCACTTCATGCCCAATGTAAGTGCACGGATGCATCAATACCATGTACATGTCCATTATTCCATAACTAATTCAACTTTAGTAATTGAAGCATAGTTTCACAAGGATTTCTAAAGAAATTACAACATGCTTTTATACCATATAAGTTTAGCAAGACGAACATATACAAATCATCCCATAAACATGCTCTTTACATAACTCATTTACCACACATAGTTGGACAATTAATGTATACACATAACAACCAACAATTAACTAAAGTTCTAAACAAATTGATCATGCTAAACAACAATTTAAGAGGGATTAATTCAGTAAAGCACAAGACTTCATGGATTAAGAACCCCTACCTTAAATGTGATGCAAAACCCTAAATGGGTCATAATTGTCGAAGGCCAAAGGGAGCACCAAATCTGGAATTTCTGGTACACACGCGTAGAGCTCGTCGTGCTCTTCGTTTTACCTCAAACGACACCTAAATCTGGCAAATAATGAAGAAGTAATCTTGCTTCAAAGATTGAATGAGAAAAGAAAAAGAAAAAGCAAAACAAGAGAGTGAGAGAGAGAACCAGCAGGGAGAGAGAGTGAAGGTTGGAAATGTGGTATCTAGACCACTTTTGACATAGTGGTGGGCCCCACGAATTTTATTTCTTTTCTCTTTATCTTTTACTTGAAATTTTACACCATATAAAATGCATCACCATTTAAATGTCACACCATCATATAAATTAAAATGCACCAAATGCAATTGGACCCAACCACAATCCCACACGTAAAACGTGAAAAGACAGAAATACCCTTACTTCGACGAAATTCCGAAAAAATGGAAATTGCCAAAAATCGTAAACGTCACAAGCAGAATGTTCCACCTGTGAACACTCAGCCAACAGTAGCTACACCTCTTAGGCCACACATGCCCATTCGTATGGCAGTTGGGAGGTAACATTTTCCAAGGGTGCTACTTCCCAATTAAGGAGGGAAAAACTGAGGGAGGAACAACCATGCAGATGCCAACCCATTGCCAATGGCAGATTGGGGGCATCAAAGGGACAATCTACCTCAAGGTTAGCCAGATAATAACCATCCACAGCCTATGATGCTTGATAAAAGGCCAATTTATAGAATTTCTTCAACATGAATTTAGCATAATTCGAAGGGGTAGAAGACTAACTTACAGGGAACCTTTCCAGAATTCATTGATGAAATTGAATATCTAAAGAATTTTATAATTCCATAATTCACAATATTCAATGGAGAGGGCGAACAGTCCACATTGGAACATATCATTCGTTTCACTGTCTAATGTGGAGAGGCAGTAGCCAATCCTTGGTTGAAAGTACGTTTGTTTCTAAATACACTGACCGGCTATGATTTCAGATGGTACTCTAACTTGCCAGCTAACTCTATCCAAAGTTGGCAACAGTATGAGGACCTGTTCCATACTCAGTTCTATAGAGCTGATCCAGAAGTATCTATGGCAGACTTTTCTAGACTTCATCAACTACTTGGAGAGTCAATGGATAGCTTCCTTTCCAGATTCAGAAGGGCTAAATACAAGTGCAATTTGTCCTTGCCACCAGAAGAATATGTAAACGGTTGTGAGTGGATTGGAGTTGGGACTTTGTAAGAAGTTTGAAGGAGTACAATTTCATGACTTGTTCGACTTGGACGGCAAGGTGGCTAATTATGAAGAGCAAGACCGCAAAACCTCTTCCAAAGGCACTTATTATTGTGATCCTAATTACAAGGTATTTGCCACTGAAATTGAAGGAGATTTGAAAGTCAATATAGCCGATATAGTCAATATATCAAGATAAGGAATGATTTGACTAATTAAATTGTGGAGTTTAAGTTTTAAATTTCCTATACGCATGTGATCAAAAGATAATTGAAGGCCTATTATTAAGTAATGGATTTTATCAAAACTCTTAAATAAAGGAGATATGTTATTCAAGGAAAGTGAAGGATATGATGGAAGAATCGTGAAAAGATATGTGAATAATGAATGAACATGGGTTATTAGGTGGAATAAATTTGGCAATCAATTGTAATCCAATAGCTTTGATTTAGGAATTAGTTTATTTTAGGACTCTTTAGTTTTCTATAAATAATTGTAGAATATGTCTTTGTAAAAGGTCCAGCACCCTCAGAATCATAGTTTAATATAATTTTGCTTTCTCAAGCTTTCTTCTCATCTCATTCAACTTTCTCTCTTTAGCAATCTTTCTATTCTCAGTCTCTCTTTCTCTTCTTTCTCCCTCATTTCTCTCTTCTACATCTCTCTCTCCTTCTTTTCTAATTCATATTTCACGATCATTGCAATTCACTTTCCCATTTTAAGTCCTGTTTATCAAGGCAGTTTGAACCTACTTGAGAGTTTAACGTTCTCTCTCATACAATCGTGTGATCCATAACTTTTTTGCAAAAGAGATTCAGTTTGACTTAATTTCTTCACACTCGAACCAAGTTGTTGGTTTTGGCATGCCCTCATGCACAAATTTCTGAATCTGCAAAACCTACAGATTTTAGGGTCAACACAACCAATTTCCTGGTTCTATTCTTTCCTCATGTTCAATGTGTCATCCTTGCTGTTTCTGAATCTCAGGTCAGACCAGTTTTCGAGCTCTATACTCTTTCCCATTTCGGACACGCCTTCACTGGAAACCATCAATCTCAATCCTAATAACCAATTTGGTACCCTCCTAGTATACATGTGCAATTATCTTTTCTAAAAGGGAAAGTTCAGTACACAAGCATTGTGGGATCTGGGAGAGTCAAATGTACCAAGCCTTATCTCCGCATGCAGAGAGGCTATTTCCAATCACAATCAAGCAACCCTACTATTGTGCAGAGGCATGCCCTCATATGCAATTCTTTTGCTAAACTTCAAAATCTTTATCTATCTGAGAATAAGTTCTATGGTCAAATTCCATTCAGTATATATCTACAAATGCAGAAAGCTTCAACATATATCATTACTGGCTAACAAATTCTTGGGAAGCATACCTATGGGACTTGGGAATTTAACTATTCTCAATGTCTTATATTTTGACAACAACAACATTAGAGGTATGAATCTGCTCTGTTTTTTGGTAAATATTGGGCAATTTCCAGCAAACATGACATAAGAGATTCACTAGAAGAGTGTTTCTAAATTATGCTCAACTCCGTTTAATCTTCTTGTTTAACCATAAAGGACTCAGCAAGAGAACTATTTCACAAACTTGGCCTAAACCTGCATCATAACCCTAACCTAGGGTTGTTCCATACTTGAGTTGGGAAAGCTTAATTTGTTCAAACCTATACCAAATTAAATTTTTGACAAATGAGAAGAGTTTCACTGATAACATAATCTCTCTTTTTTAGATGAAAAGACCTCTTATCATTTTGCTAGAATGACTCTGCCTAGACCAAGCGCAACTTAAATTACATGAAATCTGATTATAACCTTTATACAAGTCATCTCCAGTACTGAATTAGGAAGACCTAGCATGCCTGAAAGTCTTACGACTACTTGAAATATTATACTAAATAATAATATCAACTTATGCTCCAATAATCTATTATGGTTCCTAGTGGTTCTATCAAAAAATTTATCTAATTGTTTTTCGGAAGGATGGTGCAAAAAAGTCTAGTCTAGTTCTTTTACTTGATTGGAAATTCTCACTTTCACTGTTATTTGTTGCTCCTGTCATCATAATTATGGTCGGTGTCTTTTTTTATTTTTTATGTTTCAAAATTTGATCTTATGTTAATGACAGACAAACATGATTATTAGGCCAAAAATAGAACAACATTATAGAGGAGATGATTAGTATGGTTGAACTACAAAGTTGTAATTGGTTAGTGGAAAGATAGTAAAATAAATATATAAAATTGATTAGGAAAAGATTGCAGTAGATCTTTGCTATCAGGTCCTGGCATACATTTCTGTTAAACTAAATCTACTAGGCTTCTCAAAAAATAGCCATACAGGTTCCATTCCTCCTGCTATATACAATATATCTTCTCTGAAAGTAATTGCTTTCCAAAACAACGGCCTTTCTGCAGGTAATCTGCCAACAGATATGTGTTATTGCCTTCCTGTACTTGAAGTACTTCAAGCGAGAAACAACAAATTGATGGGGATCATACCTAGAGGAATTGGAAACTGTACTTCGCTCAAAGAAGTGAGATTGGCTGAGAACTACTTCACAGGTAAGACCAGTTTTACTTTCATTTCAACATAGTCTACTAGGTTTTTCACAAACTTAAACAACATCAATAACATCTTTCACTTTGTCAAAACTTGTGAGAAATTTAAATCTTATCAAATGTTTGCAATGCATTGGTTCAAAGTAGATTATATGGATACTTAGAAAAAAAAATAAAAAATAAAAAATAAAAAATAAAAAAAAATCTTGTACATTGCTAATGCACAACTCTTTCTGGAGGTAATCGCAATCCTATAAAGTTGTGATTTCTTAAGCAGTGATTTTCTCATGATTAACTAGCTGTTGAAGCCTCCATCCTGAAACTCAATCTATAATTTTTTTTTTTTTTTCTTTTTCCTGGACTAGTCACAATGCACGCACATTGTTTGTTAGCAGGATCAAACTAACTAGGAAAAAAACAGGATCAAGCTTGTGATTGTTTGTGTATCCCATGGATTCATCTCTGGTGATATAGTCACTGAGAGTATGTTGGGTGTTTACATTATGGCAGGTTCAATACCAGATGAAATCGGCAACCTTAATCTTGAGTATTTCAGTATCTATGCGAATATGCTAAGAGGCCTCATTCCAGCAACTGTATTCAATATGTCTGCAATGAAGTATCTTTACCTAGCTGTGAATCAGTTCTCAGGCCAGATTCCGTCAAGCATGGGCCTCTGTCTTCCCAATCTTGAAAAGCTTCTAATAGGAGGAAATGAATTCTTCGGAGCAATCCCCAGCTCCATCTCCAATGCTTCTAAACTTACCTTCCTAGACATGTCTGACAACTTATTGACTGGCTCTATACCTAATACACTTGGTAATTTAAGATTCCTGCAGCGGTTTGTCATTGGAGAAAATGAATTGACCGGTGAATCTTCCACTCATGAATTGACATTTATCTCATCTTTTACAAATTGTAGAGATTTGGAGGTACTGGGGTTATCATTAAATCCACTTAATGGCATTCTCCCAAGTTCTATCGGTAATCTCTCGGCTTCTCTTCAAAGGTTTGCTGCATTTGATTGCAAAATTCAGGGTAAGATTCCTAGTGGAATTGGAAATTTAAGTAACTTGATAGCCTTAAGGTTAGAGAGCAATGAAATATCTGGATCTATTCCACCAACAGTGGGAAGGTTACAACATCTCCAACGCTTGAATCTTTCACACAATAAATTGAGTGGATTCATCCCAACTGATCTTTGTCTCTTGAGGAACTTGTGTGACCTAATTTTAAGTGGTAATATTCTCTCTGGATCAGTGCCAACATGCTTGGGTGAACTTAATTCTTTGAGAAATCTCTACATTGACTCCAACAATTTAACTTCCACAATACCCTCGACCTTGTGGACACTAGATGACATCTTGGTCCTAAACTTGTCCTCAAATTCCCTGAGTGGATATCTATCTTCAGATATCCAAAATTTGAAGGTTGTAACACAAGTAGATTTATCCAAGAATCAGTTATCAGGTTCCATCCCGAGCACTATTGAAAGTGCCCAATCCTTAGCTTTTCTCTCGTTGGCACACAATAGATTTCAAGGGCCTATTCCCCAATCATTTGGCAAGTTGATAAGCTTGGAATTCTTAGATCTATCCAACAACAATTTGTCCAGCACGATTCCCAAGTCCTTAGAGAACCTATTGTACCTCAAATATTTAAACTTGTCTTCTAACAGACTAAAAGGAGAAATTCCCAGTGGAGGACCTTTTGCAAACTTCTTAGCTCAATCATTTTTTATGAATGATGCCCTTTGTGGTGCATCGCGACTAGAAGTCCCACAATGCAAAGGTAGTACTACTGAACCATCAAGGAGAACTATTGTGCTTCTGCTAAAATATATTTTCTCCATAATTGGCTCAATCATACTCTTACTGGTCCTATTATTTGTGTTACTAAGATGTCGAAAACAGAATATGCAATTACCAACTCAAATGGATTTGTCGCTAGTAGCCTGGAGAAGGATTTCATATGAACAACTTCTGAAGGCAACAAATGAATTTAATGAAAGCAATTTACTTGGTGTTGGAAGTTTTGGTTCAGTATACAAAGGAACACTTTCAGATGGGTTCAATGTTGCCATAAAGGTATTCAAATCCCGATCGGATGGAGCACTCAAGAGTTTTGATGCTGAGTGTGAAGTATTGCGCAATGTTCATCATCGAAATATTGTCAAAATCATCAGCACTTGCACTAACACAGATTTCATGGGCTTAATACTAGAGTACATGCCGAATGGGAACCTTGAGAAGTGGTTGTATTCTCACAACCTTTGTTTGGATATCTTGCAGAGATTAAACATAATGATAAATATCGCATCAGCATTGGAATATCTTCATGACAGTTATATGATACCCATTATTCATTGTGATTTAAAGCCCAGCAATGTACTGCTGGATGAAGACATGATTGCACGTGTTGGTGATTTTGGTATTTCCAAACTCTTAGGTGAAGCTGAGTTTGTGGCACAAACCAAGACCCTTGCTACAATTGGTTACATGGCACCAGGTGATTTCCCTTTCAGTCCATAATTTAATTCAATGTTTGTACTTTATTTAACTTTCAAATTTAGAAATTTTTTTCTTGTCTTAATGATCGCTTTTTTAATGATGAATACCAATGTTATGCATAGAATACGGAACACAAGGACTAGTGTCTGCAAAATGTGATGTCTATAGCTATGGCATTATGTTGATGGAAACATTCACGAGGAAGAAGCCCACTGACGAAATGTTTGATGGAGAAATGAATTTGAAACGTTGGGTGGGTGACTCATTAATACATGGTTCAATAACTGAAGTGGTGGATTCCAATTTACTAGGAGAAGACGAACATGACACTGAAAAGGAGCAATGTGTATCATCTATCTTGGCCCTGGCCGTGGATTGTTCAGCAGATTTGCCTTGGGAGCGAATTAGCATGAAAGATGTTGTAGTTAGACTAGGAAAAATTAAGAGCAAGTTGTTGCAATATTGAAAGGAGTTCGAAACTGGAAAATTAAGCTAAATAATGTTCAAGTTTGCTAGGGACAATTCATTTCAAGGGCAGTGTTATGTCTATGCTGCTTAAATTGAGTCTTTTAACACGTCCTAATCAGACCATTTAATTTGATGTGTGTATAATCTATAGACTATTTTTTTTCCAGTAGAGTGAGTGTTTGTGCCAGCTTAGAAGATGGACTACTTTTATTCAGTCGGTTTTTAATAACTGTGTCTCACTCTGCCTGTGCTTTCACAGGGTTGAGCAAGAATCCGATTAAACTTCCCTTCCATGTGAGACTCGTGATTTTGGGTGTTCTCGACATTCTTGTTTATTTGTTCAGTTTGCCATAGGAATTTTTTCTTTAGAATGGAATTGGTTTTTTAACTTGTTTATTTGTTCAGTTGGCAAGTTCTTTTAGGTTGCCATGGATTTGAATATGAGAATGCATTTCAAATCCTTGGAACTGAAGTACCTAAAATTGAAATCTGTTGGATTTCAAAATTTATTGTTTGGATACTAAAATATTTATGAAGAGGATCTGAAATTCATGGATTTGCTTTGCTTCAATTTGGCCAACCTGTTTGTCTGAAAAATCAGAGTTGATTAAAGGAGAATTAACAAATTGAAAAAAGAAAAAAAGAGTTAATGAGAGAAATAGAGGGTGGGGGAATTTCAAAATCGAAGAAAGAGAATTATTTTCCTTGGAACTGAAGTACATAAAATTGAAATCTGTTGGATTTCAAAATTTATTGTTTGGATACTAAAATATTTATGAAGAGGATCTGAAATTCATGGATTTGCTTTGCTTCAATTTTGCCAACCTGCTTGTCTGAAAAATCAGAATTGATTAAAGGAGAATTAACAAATTGAAAAAAGAAAAAAATAGTTAATGAGAGAAATAGAGGGTGGGGGAATTTCAAAATCGAAGAAAGGATAGTCCGTTGCTCATCTCATTGGCTACTTTAAGTCTCATTAATTATTCTTTCTCTATGACGTGAAATATATAATCTACTGTAAAACAAAACTTACATTTTAAAGACAAAACTACCCTTTAAATCCTTTTTCATTACCTTTCTTATACCTCCTCTCTCAATCCATATACGTGTAGTATATATATATATATATATATATATATATATATATATATATATATATATATTTTACTGCCTTTATTTCTTTCCTTTTTATTTCAATTGTTGCCACTAATTAATTATTTCCTTCTTTTTTTCTTTATTCCCCCCCCCCCCTTTTTTTTTCTTTTTTTTTTTTTTTTCTAAATTGTTGCCATTAGCCTTAACAATTTAGAAAAAAATTTAAGAACAGGGGAATGTTCCCCAAATTTGTTATTAAACCGAAACAATTTAGAAAAAAATAAGAAAAAGAAAATGGATTGAGGGTATACTAAAAAATATGATGGACTTATAAAAAAGAATATATTCATTATAAAAAATTTATTTCAATTGTCACCCTGTTCTTAATTTTTTTTCTAAATTTGGTGAACATTCCCCTGTTCTTATTTGTTCTGGATTAAAATTTAATAACAATTTGGTTTAATAAATTTTTTTCTAAATTTGGTGGACATTTCCCTATTCTTATTTGTTCTGGTTTAAAAATATAAAAATTTGAAAGGAATGATGGAAAAAGGGCTAATGACAACAGTTTAGGAAAGGAAAAAAAAAGGAAAGAAAAAAAATAACTAGTGGCAACAATTGAAATAAAAAGGAAAGAAATAAAGGCAGTAAAAGATATATATATATACTGAGTAGTGATCTCTTGCTCTCCATGGAGCAAGAAAATTTATCCGCACTTTCTATTGAGACCATTAGATCTAATTTAACGATTACTATAGAAACCCACCTATATTATTTCCTTTTAATACAAAACTACCATCATTATTTATAGTTTCTAAATTTAATATTTACCAAACTACTAATTACAATAATAAAAGGTAATTACTCAAAAATTATTTGTAGAAATCTCTTCACCTCTAAAAATAACGTCTTATTTATAGAAATCTCTTCACCTCTAAAAATAACGTCTATTTCAAACAAAGACCTACAAGAGTACTACTTTCCCTTTCTCCATACAAATTGAATTTGCAAGTTCTCTACATCCTTTGTCTCCATATAATCATAAGTAAATAAAAATAAAATTTATTTTTTTTTGCACAACACTTCAGTCGCATAAAATTTAATGGATTAAAATATCTTCTTCTTTTTTTTTTTTTTTTTTTTTTTTTTTTTTTTTTTTGTCTCTTGTAATTTTTTGTTTAAGAGAGACGTGATTTCCAGAGGTGAAGAGATTTCAAATTTTTTTTTTTAGTAATTACCTTTTATTATTGTAATTAGTAGTATTGGTAAATATTAAATTTAGAAACTATAAATAGTAACAATGGTTTTGTATTAAAAGAAAATGATGTAAGTAGGTTTCTATAAAATCTAATGGTCACTGTAGAAAGTGCAAATCAATTTTCTTACTCCATAGAGAGCAAGAGATCATTTCTCTATATATACTACACGTATATGGATTGAGGGAGGATATATAAGAAAGGTAATGCAAAATTATTTAAAGGGTAGTTTTTGTCTTTTAAAGGTAAGTTTTGTTTTAAAGTAGGTTAAATATTTCACGTTCTTTGAGAATAGAGAAAAAGTAACTAATGGGATTTAAAGTAATCAATGAGATCAGCGACTGTGAAATGACAGTCGCTTGAGGGACTGTCCTCAGCATTCCTCTTATTTTCATAATCCACAATACTATGAATATATATATATATAGGTATCAGATTAATTAGATTGAGATATCTACAATATGTACTAGTTACAAGATTGCTTGTCTGTTTATACTGTATGTGGTGGCTAGATTGCCTTTCTTTCTGTGATCAGATTAAGCAATGAATTTCTGCAAAAATGATGATGACTGATAAGCGCCGAATATTACATATTCAAGCACCCTTCCTTGCATTAGTTAAGTCCATTATTAGAGGATAATGTACAATTTTAATTCAGTTGTGTATGTCTTTTTGATTTCAGGTATTTTTTTCCCAAGAATGATCAAAGAAGCGGTTTTGACAACTTTTTGTTGAAATACGTGCGCCGTGTTGGGGAGTCATCTTCGGGACCTAACCTCTTCAGTCGCCGTTTTTATGAAGTTCGTGGCTTAATGTTCATAGTGGAAGTATGTCTTCGCTCCAGCCTAAAGAAGCTTGCATAAAATTTAAGCTTGGAGGAAATGCAGCTGCAAGGCCCCGCGGGCGCCCGCCATGACACCACAGGCGCCCGCCAATTCCCTCATCTCTCTGCCCTATTTCGTGGGGCCTTGCTAAGCCCCTGCGGGAGCCCCCGCCAGCCACCACGGGCGCCCGCCGTGCCATCGTGGGCCCCCGCCAAACACCCTAGTCCCCCGCAAGCCACCGCGGGCGCCCGCCGATTTGCAGAAGGCAACTCAACTGCCCCTGAATTTTAGCATCTTGGTCCCCTTATCCTTCTTTTGTGTGGTTTAGCTTCATGCAGAGGGGGGAGCTCAGGATTTTCAGTATGGGGAGTTGGTTTTGAGTGTATTTAGAGAGTGGAAGCTCATTATGAAAGATATCTCACATTTGGTTAAGTTCTAGAGAGAGAAAGAGTGAGTTTGGAGGGTCTTGGGTGTTCTTGAGCTTAAGGTGTGAAAATGGAGAGGGATTCTTCATCTTCTCCTTCATTCTTTGTCTTCATGGGTAACCAACTCCCTAACTAGGGAGGTGATGAAGCCCCATTTTGTAAGCATTGCTATGTTTTGATTTATATTTGGAGTATAATGTATATATGTAACTTTTCCATGAACTAGAGCACTTCATATGATGTAATGAATCTCTTTATCTATAAATGATCATTTTGAGTCAAATATCTTGTCTTAGATTATTTTTCTCTCATGATTATATTGCTACATTTTTATAGTGACAATGGAGATGAGTTTATGGAAGTGTTTTTATTGGCATGATATTTAGGAATTTTGATAATCTATTGCTTAGGGCTTTCTTTTAATAGATTCCCCTTGATTTCTATTTTATGTGCTTTTATTATGAGAATAACGGCTTGATAATCTATGGCTTGGTGATCATGTTTAATGTTGCATCCTAGTTTAGGTGACCATAACATGTAGTGCCTTGATAGGTTATTCTTGTATCTTGTTTTTATATATTTCTTGAAGATAATGTATCAGTGTTGCATTCCATGGTTATATATATATATTTCCCTAAGTAAATCATGTCCTAGTATGCTTATGGATGGGTAGTGGATTCACTTCCCTAGTTCCCATTTTAATTGTCTTTGCCTCTTTACTTTTTAGCATTAATGTTTTATGCACTTTTCAATTCATAATCTTAGTGACAATCCAACAAATCCTCTATAACCCCCCTTCATCATTCTAAAAATGACTCTAGATACCTAAGTTGCCATATACTCGCAGTCCTAATGGTTCGACTTACCCGACCAATAGCCCTATTTTACAATGATTTGTGCTATTGCAAAGGTTGATGTATAATTGACAACCGATCAATTTTTGGCGCCGTTGCCGGGGACTTGCACATGGTTTAGCAACTGAAGTTTTAGGGTTAATTTTGGTTTGATTTTCAATATTGTGATTTGTAAATATTTCTTGTGCAGTTTTGACCATCGTGGTGTTGAAAGTTGTTTGTGAGATTCAAGGGACTTGATGCTTGCCGAGTGAATGCTAGCGAATTTGTAAGTCTAGAGGACTCCAGGTAAGTCTCTTGGCCTTTTAGTTTCGAAATTGTTAATATTGTGTATGTGTAAATTTGGTGATAGTTAAGTTGCGAAGCCCTTGTTGAGGCTATTTTCTTGTTTATTTTCAATTGCAAAGCATCGGTCCTTTATGTGGCCATTTAATTTCTGTCTTGATAATTGAGGAGAAAGGGAACATCATATGTGGAGTTGATGGTGATGATTTATTGTATTGATTATGGGATGTGTTGTTGATGTTTGGCCGTAGATCACTCTCCCTACCAATTCTAGAATCTTCAGTTGATATAAATTCTTTTGAAAGAACTTTTAGACGAATCCTTAGGGAATCTTCTCATATAAGAGAGCTTGAAACTGAATTTAACACAATGGATGAAAATGTAGGAAATGTCAGAAATGAGGGGATTAATAATGATAGGGTCAAAATTC